ATTTCCAATTCACTGATACATCAAACCAGGGTGATTTGATATGTAGTGCTTGTCACTCTGAACTTTCAACAATGCAGATCTGAGCCCCGGGACTACTTTGAAAAGACTGGATCCCTTGGCTTGGATTGCACTCTACAAAGATGAAGAAAGCAGTCATTTACTGCCCACTGAGGACCAGAAGTTTCTTCCATTAGACAGAAACTTCATTTCTGGAAATGTGAACTTTGCTGCCAGGGTTATAAATGCCAACTCTGTATGTGAAAAGCAGACCATTTACTCACTTCAGCATTTATTTTTCTGGAAACTCATGTAAGTAAGGCCTGCCTGTACTTACATGAGGAAAGGAAAACATGAAAGAGAGATATAGTCTGAAAATGTAACGTTGACTTCCAATGCAAAACTCCCCTGAATTCACTTATTCTCTTCCTCTTTCCAATTCTCATGCAATAGGCTATCAGAAAGTAATTTCAGTTGAAAAGGCTTCCATATCAGAAGTAGAAAAGAGGGAAGGTCCCTATTCCCTTCCACCTGCTGGAAAACTAGAGGAATGTCCACAACGTGTAGAATAGGTAAGACGTTCTGAGGGAGGGGTCGACAGACTCCTCTGCTCTCTGACAGGAAGTAAAGGCCTTCCTGGGGGGTCAGCAGAGAAGAGATCAGCCCCAGGGCATTCCACTACTCAGAGTCCATCCACTGAGGCTGGGGCCACCTCCAGTGAGCAAATTTCTGTGGGAGGTTCACTGAATGCTGCAGACCTCACAGAAGGGGATTGTGGTCAGTGCCTTCTCCCAGCTAAAGGAGTGTGGACGGCTGGCCTAGTAAAACTTGGGCGAGGCTATGGATGGTGCCAGTGAAGACAGAGCCTCAGTAAGGAAAACATTCCTGTATCTACTATCTTCCTCACATCCCACCCTTGCCTCCTTCTTTGGCTGCTTCCAGACATTGTTCTCACCTCTCCCACCATGGAGACCTGGCTTTCTGATCTGGCAAAGAAACATCCTAAGTGCTTTAGCTTTTCTCTTCCTTCTTCTTTCTCCATTCAAGAATGAAAGAGTTCAACAGAGACCAATACAGTACTGGACAAGTGCAGAAATAAACCATCCCCTTGCACCGTCTAGGCTTTTCAATTCTTTTCAATTCTTTTTTTTGTTGTTGTTGTTGTTGACAGAGTCTCACTCTGTCTCCAGACTGGAGTGCAGTGGCGCCATCTCAGCTCACTGCAACCTCCGCCTCCTAGGTTCAAGTGATTCTCCTGCCTCAGCCTCCCGAGTAGCTAGGACTACAGGCACGTGCCACCACGACCAGCTAATTGCAGTTTTTAAAGAAGAAATTGCTTTAAGGCATCAACATGCTTCTCTTTACGAAACGGATTCCCTACAAGAAACGGGAGTAAATCTTGGAAAATCTCTTATTTGTATTCTCAGCAGAGCTTGAAAGGACATTGCATTAAGAAAAGGGACACAGTGGCTGGGCGAGGCAGCTCACACCTGTAATCCCAGCACTTTGGGAGGCCGAGGCGGGCGGATCATGAGGTCAGGAGATGAAGACCATCCTGGCTAACACAGTGAAACCCCGTCTCTACTAAAAATACAAAAAATTAGCTGGGCGTGGTGGTGGACGCCTGTAATACCAGTTACTCGGGAGGCTGCGGTAGGAGAATGGCGTGAACCCAGGAGGCGGAGCTTGCAGTGAGCCAAGATGGCACCACTGTACTCCAGCCTGGGAGTACAGAACTAGGCAGAACTAGGCTCCGTCTCTAAAAAACAACAGAAAAGAAATTCTTATAAACTTCACTGTAAACAATGGAAAGCAGAATATGATGGGGAAGAGAGAGAGAGAGAAGAGAAATGCAGCGAAGTCTCATACAGTAAAAATCAAGCAACTACAAACTAAGTAGAGGTATGCAGTGCCTTGTGGATTCAGTTTCTTCTCCCACATGGAGAACAGCAGCAGCGGAAGAGATAGCACCTCTTTTCCAGCCAGCCAGTGTGCTGTAACACTTCCTCGGCCTCCTGGCAGTGCCAAAGACATGTATGGCGGCCTTAGCCAGAAAGAGGAGGCCATCCCAGCCTCCAGCATGGGGCTGTGAAAGTAGACGTAGGTGACCCACTAGAGCTGTGAACTCCTTCAACTCTAGGGCCGAAGTGCCATATTCAATGAGCACAGTTCTTGAAAGGTCTCCAGGGAACCCATATCATATCTTGAACTAATCCAAACCTCTAAATCCCCTAAATCTTTCAAAGCTGAGAGAGAGAGAGTAATTCATCTTTAGGGATTGATACAGACTAGGCTATGATATTTGGAGCCCACCCACTGGGAACCATGGATAGGATGATTATATAATTGACTATCCAACCAAAGACACTTTTTGAGAGAGAAAGGGAAATTTAAATAATTATCTTGGGACAGCAGTTGACAACTAGGACTGTCCTAGGCAAACCAGGTTTCATAATTACCCTAGCCATGGACCACACTTTGAGAAGCACTTTCCAAAGGCCTCCGCCACGTGCAGCTGCTCATAGCCAAGCTCATGCTACACAGGTGGAAAAGCTTCTGGAAAACTGGGGCGCTTCCCTAGAAGACTCAGAATGTTAACAAGGAATAGGGAAGAAAGAGAACTAAGAGCTTGGCACAGGAGGGCTGGCCCAAAACCTGTGTCACAGCGCTGCCCTGGGCATTCACACCAAAGCTCATTCTAGAGACCAAAAGTATTTGATGGCCTTCTGTCATACTTTACCTGCCAGGCCACCTGCTTGATGGGCTCTTTCCTGAACCTAGACACCCCCAGGGTACCATCATCCTCCCTGATAGAATATTATATTAGAACAATTTGAGGAACATAGACACATTATCCCCAACCCTGTCCCTCAACTGTTTCATCTGTCAGCACCATGGTGTCAGTGAGACCTTATGATGGAGACTTACAAGCCACCTGGCTGCTTATGTTAGTCTACAAGTTGTTCCATTGTTTTTCAAAAGAGAGGTCCTCCAAATTCAAATCACTTGTTTATGTCCCACTGCTGACACATCACCTGAATGGGAAGTATCAGTCTATGACATCAAAGGCCTCTCCTGTTGTATCTGCTACTGACAGCACTGTTGTCCATCTATCTCAATGGGGAGAATTCTCTTACAAAAATTCACTCCCTCCACTCAGTACAGTACTTTGCATAATAATTAGTTTTCATTCCTGATGCTTTATCACCCATTTAAAGACTGCTAGAGAAATTAGTTATCCAGGATATGACCCCTCTAGTCATCATAGAACCAGAGAAAAAGTGTGTGGCTTGAAGCTGAGCAAAGATGGTGCCCTCCAAGTGGGATGTGACATATGTATGCTGGACATGATATATCTGCAGAGCTCTCCAACCCTGTCATCCTCCCACTCTAGTTGTGCAGCCCTCATCCTCCCCCTACATCACCACAATGCCTATCCTCATTTCCACAGTTCTGCAGTTCCAAGGCCCTGACCTCCACCTAGGATCTCAGAAACTAATCTGTAAATCCAGGATGGAGAGCCTAAATATCAGATTGATAAAGTATAGGACTCATGAAGATGCTCATAAAAAATTTCTTAGAAGGCCAGGCATGGTGGCTCATGCTTATAATCCCTGAACCTTTTGGGAGGCTGAGGCGGGCGAATCACTAGGTCAGGAGGTGGAGACCATCCTGGCTAACACGGTGAAACCCCGTCTCTACTAAAAAATCAAAAAGTATTAGCCGGGCGTGGTGGTGGGTGCCTGTAGTCCCAGTTACTTGGGAGGCTGAGGCAGGAGAATGGCATGAACCCGGGAGGCAGAGTTTGCAGTGAGCTGAGATCATTCCACTGCACTCCAGCCTGGGTGGCAGAGCAAGACCCTGTCTCAAAAAAATGAAACAAAACAAAACAAAACAAATTTCTTAGAAGGATTGTTAGATTAATAGCATTCCTGCTTTTTTTCTTTTTACTAATTAATCATTTATCTTAATCTGTTTTATGCTGCTATAACAGAGTATCAAAGACTGAGTAATTTATAAAGAAAAGTAATTTATTTCTACAGTGTGAAGGCCTGGGAAGGTGCTGGTATCTGGTGAGGGCTTTCTTGCTGCATCATTCCATGGCAGAAAGCAAGAGGGTGAGAGAGGGACAAGGGAAGAGAACTGAGTTCATTCCTTTATCAGTAACCCATTCCTGCAATAACTAACCCACTCCCACAATAACGACATTAATCCATTCATGAGGGCAGAGCCTTCAAGACCTAGTCACTTCTTAAAGGTTCTACCTTAACTCCACTGCTTTGGGGATTAAATTTCAACATATGAACCTTGGAGGACACATTCAAACCACAGAAATATTCTTCAGTAGAACTTTAATATTACTGTCTTATAAAATTCTGTCAAATGAACAAAAGATAACCCATAATTATACTATCCTAATATGACTGCTTTTAACATTTTACTGTACTTCAGCCTTTTTGCTATGTATATAATTTTACAGAGTTGTAATCATACTCAGTACATGATTTTATCATGTTTTCCCACTTACCATTATATTATAGGTATTTTTAATATTGCTACATGGTCTTTGTGGTTGTCATTGTTAATAGCTATGCTGTAATAGTTCACTGAATTGAAGTGCTTTATTTACTTAGCTACCCTATTATCTTTAAACAATTTCTAATTTCTTTTTACAATAAATATGGACATCTTTGTGACAGTGGTGTTCTTTTTCACATCTTGACCTACTTTTCACACAGTGTTACAATTACTTGACCAAAGAGTACAAACTTTTTGTCTCTTGACATATATTTCCAAAAGATTTTTAAAAGGTGTATTAATCTACTCTGCAGCTGGCCTAAATGAAGACCATTTTGTCATTGTTTTCCTGAGAGCAGAGCTTCCAAAGGTAGGGATATGGGGCCAGGAGGAAGAAATCCAGTACCAAAGCCTGGGCCATGCATTCTGTAAGGAACCCCGGTTCTCACTGGTACACTGGTCTTATTTTTCTCTGTTTCTTGCAGACTGAGCAATTGATAACTCTGTGGGTCCTCTTTGTTTTTACCATTGTTGGAAACTCCGTTGTGCTTTTTTCCACATGGAGGAGAAAGAGGAAGTCAAGAATGACCTTCTTTGTGACTCAGCTGGCCATCACAGGTAGGTCACTATGCAAGTGAGAGGAGGAAGCTGTATGTGAAGTCCCTATGGCTTCCTGCTTTTAATGAATTTTATCAAAAAAAAACAAAACAAAAAGTAACACATCGGTAAATTTGGGAATAATTTCTGAAACAATATAAAACCCATGTTTGAATATTTCCTCTGGCATACTTAACACATATGAATGCCTCTAAGATTTCATTATAAAAGTAACTCACTACGCTAATGGAAATACCATTATCAGTGCCACCAAATGGTTCTGTAGGGTTTCCCTGTTTTTATACACAATAGCCTCCATAGTTTACTAAGGTGATATTACCATATCATCCTGCATTATGAGCTTAAGGAATACATCCCAGAAAATGTACCAGCACTATCTCTATTCAATTATTAATGTTAAGTCTTGAGTACTTTGCAGATTAAAGCCTGTGGACATTGCTTTTGAAATGCAAATGATGTGCAACAGCACTACTGGGGGGAAGTATAATGAAGTAGTATAATCTCAAGGATCGGGATGCTTAAGTGTAGACTTTAGAAATGACTGTTCAGTAGAAGAGTGAGCACAGCACACCTAGTAGAGGAATGGTGCAATATTCTCAAAGAAGAAAATGATCTGTGAAAGTAAGAGCCCCACAGACATGAGTAGAGCTCATGTTCAAAAGGTAAAGAAAAACACAACCAGGGAAAGAGTCTTGCTCTACAGGCCAGAGAAGAAAGTGAGAAAATGGGATTCACAGAAGGTCCAGCAAAAGCCATGCTTGGAGTCCTAAGCTCTGGGAGCAAGATGGCTGTTATATTAGCTTAATTTGGATCAGACTATAGAAAAAAAATGCAAAAAGGAAAATGTAAATATTAAGTGCTTACAAGGAGTGATGGTAAATGACTTTCAGAAAGGGCTGTTTGGTATATTTCAACCTGTACTGTTATCTCAGCTGTAGTAATGGTAGTGGAGCTCTTTGGAATTTAGTCTTGAGCCAAAAATATATGACACTGTAACTTACAAGAGAACCTTAGCCATACATTGTTGGTAACCTGAAATACCCCTTTTTCTTTCTAACAAAGTATAACAAGCCCATCTGCTTGAGCTAGGCTGCAGTGGCTAGGGTAAACATCCAAGGTACCATTGAAAAATATAGAGAAGGTAAAAGGAGCAAGAGTTCTGAAGATGGAACCTGGGATGGGGGAAAGTTTCTTCAATCTTTCCTGCCAACAGGGATTCTAATTTTTCACTCCTATGTTGCAGAAGTAGAGATAATTAGGATCATCCAGCAAATGCTTAGAGGCAAATATCCCTGGATGAGGATGCTACAACTTATTTTCATTATATTTCTTTGATTACAGTGTGGTAATGCATGTTGTATGGAACTATGTATTCTTTTAGAATGAAAGGATTTAGACGTGGCAAGAATATCAGCTTGAAATTTAAAGTTTTTTCATAAACAATAAACACATGATAATTGAAAATTCACTACATATTATCAAAGAGAAAAGTTGTATGTTCTATTCTAATTCATAGTCATATTAATCTGGGTTTAATTTCATATACATCTCCTATACTGTTTTTATTTGTTAATTTTTTCTAGAAAAACTCTGTCAGGTCAGAAGCATTTTAAATGAAGAATTCCTGAAGTGAAAAACACTGCCAAAGGTCTAGGATTGAAGCTCAATAGTCTGAGATTAAATTTATGTGTTATTGAAATTTCCTTCATACACTTTCACCATGATCACAGATCCTTTGGTAAAGGAGGTGAGCATACATACCTGAGGCTCGAGCATGCATATAAAAGTTACCCAGGCATCAACTGAGAAGCCCTGTGCTTTGAGACATATATAAAAATGTGGTTTGAGTCCCCCATCATATGTCAATGTCCTCCTTTAAGATTTCTTCAAATTCTGTGGAATTTATATTTTTACTTCTCTCTTTTGCTTCTTGTTTCCTCCTTCCACTAAATTCTTGCTCTGTCTCACCAGCATCTCATCGTTCTGAGCTCCTCTTTTTTTGTGGTTGTTTCATGCTGTCCCTAACAAGGCACTCAAGGCACCCTCCTTTCCTTTATTTTCTTTAAAATCATTCACAAAAGTATGACTTTCTATGTTTAAAAGACTTTTCTGAATATTTCAGGTAATATAAGGATATTGCATCATAGAAAAGTAAATACCTTAAGAGCAAATATTTCATTTTCTCAGAACATTCAGCTGCCATCAGAAATGTTTCAGTTTGATCATGCCACTGCACGTCAGCCTGGGCGACAGAGTGAGACTCTGTCTCAAAAAAAAGAAAAAAAGAAATGTCTCAGTTTTACTTTGCTTCAGCCTCACTATTCTACTCTCTCTTCTAAATGCCTAGTATCTTGTGCCAAGAAATTTTAATACTTTCCTCTATGTTTTGTTTTGCTTTGTTCTTACCGCTACCAAACCATGATCTCAGAGACCCCTCAACTTCCAAAAACCAAGTATCAGGCCAAAAAGCAAGTATGAGGCTTTTTTTTTTTTTTAAACAAAGGAAGTTGCTCCCTAAAAAAGAACCCTGGAACTAGTTACAATGATAAACAGACAAAGAAAAATACACATTCATATTTATAGTTACATATGTCATGGCTAAAAATAAATTATTCTGAATTGTATAAAACTGTAAGATATACAGTGATAACTCAATAGTATATTGTATTAGTCTGTTCTCACACTGCTATGAAGAAATACCCGAGACTGGGTAATTTATAAAGAAAAGAGGTTTAGTTGACTCAGAGTTCTGCATTGCTAGGGAGACCTGAGGAAAGTTATTAATATAATCATGGCAGAAGGCAAAGGAGAAGCAGGTACCTTCTTCACAAGGCAGCAAGGTGGAGTGAGTGCGAGCAGGGAGAATGCCAGATGCTTATAAAACCATCAGATCTTGTGAGACTCACTCATTATCACAACAACAGCATAGGGAAACTGCCCTCATGATCCAATTACCTTCTCCTGGTCCTGTCCTTGACACATGGGGGTTATTACAATTCAAGGTGAGTTTTGGGTGGGGACACAGAGTCAAACCATACCATATATTATGTGCTGTGCGTGCAAAAATTTCGAACTGGTTTTAGGCCAATACTCCTACCTACAATAATTAGAAAAGCTGGACAAAATCTAAACATTCGTTAGAAGGTATCATATAGCTGCCAAAGACAACTAAGACTTGAGAGGCCAAGATTTCACAGAGCAGAAAATTTTGTGAGATAAATACATTATTTGACACCACTATCCCCTTAAAGTATTAGCTGATTTAAAAGCAGAAACTGGGGCTGAAAACCTGAGTAGAGCTTTTGGCAGTTTCATTGGACTGATGGGGCAAAAATTAATCTGCCAAAGCACAGAGGCTTTGATAAATATTCCAGGGTTTCTATTGGTACTGCTGAAAGACACAACCTACAAGTAAGAGTAAACTAAATGTGGATCAGCCCTCATCAAAAAATGAAATACAACCCCAAACCCGAATGAAATCAGATGATCTACCTCTGCATGCACACAAACCATCTGCTAGTGCAAAAATAAATCTTCTTTGGGGGAAGAAAGCATTATCCCATATCAAATTAACTACAATTTTCCATGCACAATGTTCAGCACTTGATTAAAAAACAACCAGGAATGCAAAAATACAAAAATTATGAAAAACAAGGAGAAAAATAGATTATGAAGAGTTGCAGAAGAGATCCATCTATTGGCATTATCAAGATACAGAATTTATAACTGTTGCTTATCTGTTTAGAAACTACAAAATAAGATTAAAGGTTGAATATCCTATCTCCAGGCTTTTGATGCACCTGCCCCCTTAAAATTGGAGCTTGAGCACACAAAGAACTCCCTTTCCACACAAAGAACTTGGTGTAGTGGCACTTCCTCCACTCCACACCTGGATGTAATTCCAGCCATTTAACACACCTGCCCTAATGGACTAGGCGTTTGAGCCACCTCTTCCTCCCATGCAAAGACCTTGTTGTGGCTGCAGTTTCTCTGCTCTTTCCCCAGACATATCACCCAACTCGAGGTGCACCTGCTCCCCCAGATTAGGAGCTTGAGCTACCCCTATGTTCACCAGGAAAACTTTGTGGCAGCAGTGGTTTCTCTCCACCTTGCCGGGGCATATTTCCAGGTATCTGGCACACTTGATTGTCTAAATTAGAAGCCTGACCTGCTCCTCCCTGCAGAGATCTTGGTAGAGCAAAGCTCTCTTCACTCAATGCCCAGACATATTTCCAGGCATTTGAAGAACCAACTCTTTTAGATTAGGAATTTAAGCTTCCCCCACTTCCTGTGCAGAGAACTTGGGACAGTGGAGGTTTCCAGACTCTATGCCTAGGCACATCTCCAGGCACTTGGCAGCTGCCCACCAGACCCTGCCTCAGAGCTAATACGTCTGCCTGCCATTGGGAGAACTGTAGGAGAGCTTGCTTAGTCTATCCCACCCATCTTGGCCCCCACTCCAGAACTAAGCACGGAGCTCAGACCACTGTGCATTCCACAGATCAGCCCATTGCCCGAGTCAACAGAACTTCTCCCAGTAAACAAGAATCAAGTATATACCCGTTTGAGTCAGCTGCAGCTGAACTTTATGCATAAGCATCACCTACTGACCTGGAGGTTGAACTGCACAATACAGTAAGAAATCTGGGGCCAGGCACGGTGGGTCACGCCTGTAATCCCAACACTTTGGGAGGCCAAGGCCAGAGGATCACGAGGTCAGGAGATGGAGACCATCCTGGCTAACAGAGTGAAACCCTGTTTCTACTAAAAATACAAAAAATTAACTGAACGTGGTGGTAGACGCCTGTAGTCCCAGCTACTCGGGAGGCTGAGGCAGGAGAATGGCATGAACCTGGGAGGCGGAGCTTGCAGTGAGCTGAGATCGCGCCACTGCACTCCAGCCTGGGCAACAAAGCGAGACTCCGTCTCAAAAAAAAGAGAAAAAAGAGAAAATGCTTAGCTATCAAACCTAAGAAATTGGAAAACAGAGAATCCTATTC